GAGGGGGGCGGTGTGTGCAAAGCATTTAGCAGGCTCTGTGTGACTAAAGAATATGTTTGCTGTTGACAGACAGATCGCCTCTGTTTTCGACATACGAGGTGCGATCGGAAAGTTTCAAGACTGCGCGTATAAAAACCCGTACACTTATCTCAGGTATTAAATTCATCCATCACCCTCGAAGTAGTTCCCCTGGGAATGAACACAACGATCCACTTAACAAAAGCACGAATATTTTAAAAATGCATATCTGGTAAATGTTAATTAGTGTAAATCATTCAATCCATACCTGAGGCACCGCAGTGCGGAAGCGCCCGGCTTCCCATAGTCTATCCCAACAATGTCGCACAAGTCGTTGATGGTACGACGTCGATCTTCGTAACTTTTTCGGGCGTTGTGCTCGAAGATGGTCGTCCAGAACGCTCGTCATCATCGACAGAGGTTCGGCCGGCCCTTTTTAAAACGTGAATGCCACACAAAAGTTTGCGGACTCCCCAAATGTTTGCTTTAGCATTTCATAGGTTTCCTTAGCCGTTTTGGCGAGTCTTTGGCAAAATTTGATGCACACGCCATTCCGAAATCGCAGGAGGGTCGGTGTAATGCACTACCAAAACGCCCGTAACTAAGAAACAAATGCTAATTCGATGATGCCGGCTGGCACACTGATTCACTATGAATGTAGGCCGCACCCCCCTAGCGGCAGAAGCTCGTACTACATCCGGTTAGCCCTCTATTGACACAGTCTTGAAACTTTCCGATCGCACCTCGTATGCCTTTCTTTCTTTATTTCGCCTTACCTTCTGCACGAATTACAGTGTGATCTCGTTTTTGGATCAGTATTCCGCTGAATGTTTTGCATATTCGCCCGTAATACTCAGTAAAGACAATAACTTATCTTTGCTAATTAGAATTCGTAACACACACAGGTTCTTCACCGATGGTTTTATTCAACATGTGTTGTATTTTTTCATATTCCTGCATTCTTATACGTCAGTGTTGTAAATGTAGGCATATATTTGTTGTCGTGCTCAGTTCCGTCCCCCCTCTTCGTGAGACGAAATTTCCTGGTGTGCCTTTATGTGTGTTTCGCCAGTGAAAATCGGTTTGCGGATCACTGATTTAAATCATAACACACTCTAATGCACTAGGTCAGCATCAGTCTGCTTTTATACATCGTTGCTTTTCACGTAGGTACTAAATTACCATTCATGTAGTTGGCTAACATCTCCGTAATATACAGAGTGTCCCGTAAGTCCGTGTAAGTAAGTACGAAAGCTGTACAGTGCTACAGTATGCTCGCTCTGTACGCTGACACTGGGTACACCTGACCGCCGCTAACTCCGCAGTTCTCCTTGCGCGGCGCTGGTAGCTGGACAGTTGTGACTCCATCTATGTGCGTACCTTAAAACAATAAACGTTAATTCTGAGGACGCCCCACTGGCGGAAATGCGAATGATTGAGGTTTTGGGGGGGGGGTCGTGGTTTTCCCTAGTTTGTCCATAAACATTACACGATAACTCTATTAAACAAGCCAATGCCAGTTCTTTCCAACTCGTCATTCACAGGCAACTGACCACTGGATGGTATGTAACACGCTCAGCTGATACAGTTTATTTGAATAAATCTGAACCGAACTTCAAGCTTTTGAGTGTAGTGCTTTAATTAGTGTTGCTGGGTGTTTATTCAACGAGCCGATATTCAAACCTAGTACCTCCCGGACAGGATGCAGGACGTTAAGGAACGTAAAGTGAAATGCCTTTACCCCGAGGCGAGCGAAGTGAGTGGTCCTAAGTCAGGACCAGGTTTCGATGCCGCCATGCTTGGTCAGGGCTGCCGAAGACGTCTTCGACATTGAAAACCCTTTAGGGTTGGAATGATCCGATGTGTTTGGTGCACTTTATCATAATGTAACATCTTAGGTTACAGCGTTTCGTCAGTAATTAGCAGTGGCCAAGAATAATTACCGCAGATGTGTTGCAACTTTTTTTTTCCACTTCTCTAAAATTTACCCTTAATGAATAAAGCTGGCTCCTCCCACCCCTTCCTTCTTGATTTGATCGTCCCTAAGTTCATGGTGAAGAGTACAAATAGCCGAGGTCCTCCCTCAGTCTGCGGCCTCCTGTCATTTCTTCAACCCTCTTCCGTCCGACGGTTCTCCTGTGCGCGTTCGGGCGTCTCTTCTCAGACCCCCTCAACGGCGCTACAACCCAGAAGACGTCCATTTTCGAAGTTACAGTTCCGTATTTTTTAATCTCAAAATTTATATACGGCAACCAAAAAGACGGGGGATTCCGAACTGAGAGGTGCAGGCATTCTACGGTTTTCATGTGCCCTCATCTTATTCGAGAATTCAATTTACGTTTTTGCTGTTGTTCCCAAACTTTGTGAACTTTGCCACATTTTTTGGAGTATTTGTTAACTCCCTTGCAGTGTAGTTACGAGATGTACTAAGATTTTTCTGCATTGACTTCCAGACCAACCTCCATGCTAGCATCTAACACAGAATCTGCGTTTTCTGCATGATCCACTGGATAAATTAATGTCATCAACGAAGACCAGACGCTGTTGTGTTCCTCTCAGTTTCCTTGGCTCTGCCTAATGGCGTATTCTCAGGCAATTTTAAAAGCAGTGGTCACAGAACTCTCCCTTTGTTTCAGACCGTTCGTGAGGCAGATGTTTACGTATTGGGATCTTGGTATAGGCTACGCGGCGGGGCTTGATTCCCGGCACTTTCGCAGTCCTGCTTCTAACATAACCTTGCAGTTGCTCTGCCAGCCATGTTGTTATATCCGTGCGCGTCCTTGTTGCGTCAGTGGATGCCGCTCACGTGGTCGTACTACGTTCTACGTGAATGAAGCTCTGACGTAACGAGCAGGCAGACGACAGCTGTTGGTCGGCTGATCGATAATGCGTAATCATTATTATTATTTATTCTTATTAGAGACTGTCTTGGTGTTGTGTTAGATAATCAATTATTTTCATTGGCGTGGTGATTTTGTGTATTCTCGGTAACTAGGGCTTGTTTGTTTCATAACCTATAATTCATATTTTTAAGATAGCATATCATATTTTTTTGTAAATTCTTTAGTTTGGTCGAAGTCAGGTTATGCCCCAGTAACATAAAATGATTTTACGTCTATCGACTCCAATAACACAAAGTATACGAAGAAAATTTGGCAATTGTTACTGCATTTGTGCGTTCTCTGCACGAAGAGCGTAGTGAGAACGCATTATGGGCTGGCCATTTCTGTCCAGCCGATTAAACTCCGGAACTACTGGCCGGATTTGGATGGAATTTGATGTTGAGGTTGTGCCATTCTGCACGACGTAAAATTCGTATTTGTTAATATCCTACGAACGGCGACAACAAAATGACGGATGCGGAAAGTCGTGAGGTGGACACTGAGGAGCTGCGATCTGGTGGCCAAAATGGTAACTAACGAACAAGGCGGATTTAACGCTTCTAAATGCACGCTACAAAGAAGGCGTGTGGAATGCGCTTTTCGATCTTGTTTAAATTTTAGAACAGTTTATTTCAGACGACATCTCCATGCTTGATGCTGTCAGTGGCAAAATCAGGTGTCTTCCATTACGGACATTGTCGAAATTCATGTAGCTCGTACAAGACAAATGACGTGTTGAATGACGTTTGTCCCTCATGATCATTGCATAGCAGCTTGTGGCAAATTTGTAAGTGACGAAGCAGTACTTTGCTGTTTTCCTCTGGATGCATTCTGATGTCAAAATTGACGTCAGTTTACTAGGTTTATTTTTATTTATTTATTTAGTGTTCTGTCTGACGACAGGTCCATATGAACAGGATCCTTCCATCCTTTTCTCGGACTGGGACCTGTTCATATACGTTCTTGGCAGATGATCCAAAAGTGGTTTGCCATAGCCTTCTTCTGTGTGTGAATGGAGTAATTGTTGGGATGCCACGGAGAAACCGGGGAAGCCCCGGAGGAAAACTCCGTGTTGCCTAGACCACGGCCTTGCCCAACACAAGTTATAAATTCGGGCACCGCCGGGAATCGAACCCGAGACCCCAGGATTACAAGGCCAGCGTTCTAACCGCTAGACCACCGTGGCTGGTGATTTTACCAGGTTAGGCCATCTAAATGGTTTCAGATGATCGCGATAAGATACGAGTTGCACCTGTAATTACGGACGTGGGCATCACTTGTCATCTTTTTATTGCGCGTGCGTTGTATTTCGATCGGTGTATGCATTACGACACTTTTTCTGCCTCGTTCTTCACTTCACTTCAGTTCTGTCAGTTGGAACTGATGCGTCAATTAGCAATTATGCTCCCTTTTACGTGGAAGTCTGATGTCGGGCTTGTAATTTCTTGGTCGTTATCATCATTATTAGGTCTAGTTGTAGTATCAGGCAGATCACAGGAGACCGGCTGATTTCAATGTTACGAACGAAAAGCCACTGAAGACGTTATTTTCTTTTCTGTAACTTCCTAGATTCCGCATTCAACAACAAGACTGGCCCGTTTAACAGAGCCATAGAAAATCATAAATTATACAAATTGAGGTATTGGTCTCCCGGGATTTGATATATTTTAGTCTTCTTCGCGGTATGAACGTTTTGGAGGAAAGTGTCCCGTCAGCGTTCAGGTTTTTATATGCATATCAAATTTTGAATGTGTTAATACATTACCCGCACTGTAACGAACCTCAACTTCATATACAAACAAAACCTCGAAGGGGTGATATTCTCGAAATGCCTCTACGTATATCCTAACACTGTACAGAGGACCCGCTTCGAACCCCGAATATCCTCGTCGAAATCTTTCGTTTCAGGCTATTAATGCAGTATAAATTTGATGGATACGTAGGTTATTTAACAGTAATGTAATGGGAAGATGATTATGAATGGTGACCGGAACAACGTGGCCGTCACATGTCGAGACCACTGCTGAGGAGACGGCCGGTTCAGCCGGGGCAGGTATCTCCTGATGGTGCTATCTACAGGGTGTTCTCCGCGTGTTGCAGGTGGCAACTGCTGGTCCGCCATGGTGCGTAATGGCCGCTGCACGGAGCTGCTCAACGAGAAGGTCAGCAAAGAGGAGTGTTGTGCGTCGGACAGCGTCGCCACGGCCTGGAGCTCGGAAGACTTGGACGCCGGCACGCTGTTCTTCTGGAGGGTGTTGGGCGGTGGGGTGTCCTGCTACGCTTGCAAAGGTGCGCTGTTCCTCACTTAAACGCAGTGGCAAAGATCAACACAAACACGAATTTAGATTAATCTTTTTGTACACGGCTTACAGGAGCTTAATTCAGACCTGGTTAGCCCTACATTTTACTGTGATTTAAAAAAGTAATATGTAGTGTGTATTTTTTTTTATTTGTAGTGTTCTGTCTGACGACAGGTCCATATATTATGAACAGGATCCTTCCAACCTCTTCAGGTTGTCAGGGACCTGCTCATACATATATACATTCTTGGCAGAGATGATCAAAAGTGGTTTGCCATTGCCTTCTTCTGTGTGTGAGTGGAGTAATTGTTGGGATGCCACGGAGAAACCGGGGAAGCCCCCGGAAGGAAACTCCGTGTTGCCTAGACCACGGCCTTGCCCAACACAAGTTATAAATTCGGGCACCAACGGGAATCGAACCCGAGACCCCAGGATTACAAGGCCAGCGTTCTAACAGCTAG